TCGCAGATAAATATCGCGTGCAAGAAACGGACAGACACCGAATTTATATTATTTATTAAATGAAATCTCGTGTGTGTTGTCGTTTGATGTTGGCCAGGGATAATCAAAGTAGTCCATAAATAGACTAGTACGAAAAAATTGATGTGCAGTGACAACAAAAAATGTAGTCAAAGCTCTTTTATGCTTGGTCATTAAATTTACACCCTGATTATCATACCAGGAATATTACTCTAAAAATTCAAATTTTGAATATTATCAATTAAGAATATCTTTTTTGCCAAATCACTTGCATAATTAATTAAGCCAAACGTATTTTTCATGCCAATGTTTATAAAGTCAAATTAGTGTTATTTTTTAAATAATTATATTTCACTTTTGCGCTGTAAAATTGAATATGAGCTGTACAAAAACTCATATTTGCAATAAAGCAAAGATGCAAAATTGAAATTCACAGCAATAAAAAGAAATTCAAATCCATACAAACATTTTATCTGTTTTTGTAATTAAATATCATGAATAATGAATAACTCATGATCTCGTGATCTTTTCCATCCTTGCATAAATTCAAGTAATCACTGCTTTTAATTTTTAGTAAACAGAAGATTCTGTTTTTAAAAATCTGCTTTTTTAATGTTTGATCTTGAAAATGGATTGGTACACTAAAAATTATCCAGTGCAGCTCGCGAGTTATGTTAACCATCGATAAAAACTGTGGTGGTCATTTTATTTTCAAAGGCGTACGGGGATTTTGCAGTTCAAAATCAGCAAATATTTCAACCCTTCAAATTTGTTCAAGCATTGGTTTAATTTTCTTAGAATTTCCTAATAGTTGGGCAATTTTTCATTTGTGGGAAGATCAAAATCGTCAAAATTTCAACACGGTAGATTTTTAATTGAATTCAGAAAATAAATTTAAATTTCAAATTCCAATCGATTGAATTAGACGTTGCAACTTTATGGCTCTTGGGACCGTTTGGAATCGATTTTTGGACGGCCTTAAAGTTGAAACTCACAGTTTGGGTAGTTTTGGGTGGAAATATAAGCAAGCACGGCGGCTGCTATTAGTTGTTGTCTCTATTAGGCTAATTGAATTGCAAATTTAATCACATTTCCGACGTCAATATCAGGCTGCTTAATCAGGAGGGGGGTTATTAGATCACGTTCTGAGCAGCGGCAGCTTATTACCGCGTGTCATCTTAATTATGAGTGTTTTAATGACACACGCGCCTCTCCTCCCCCTCACCCCGTCCGTCCGCCCGCCCTCTCGCCGCGCGTCTGCATTGCACCATTTCACGCCGCCGTTTTTTCCATGCACGGCAAAACTATATATACAACTTTCTTTGTCTCGGTCGGTAGGTCGGTCCTGCTGCTGGTCGTCGGCCGTGATCAAAATTTCCAATGATGCAAAACCGAATTGCAGCCCCGGCGCGCGACGATCGCGCGGGGCCCTCTTTTCTTTTCTTCTTTCGCAAGTCGCATACGCTGCCTGCCTGCGCTGTCAGTGCAAATATCAAGTTTTTCATCATCCATTTCCCGCCGCTGCTCTGGCATGTGCTGGCGGAAAACTTGCCCAACTATTGATCCGCGACGAAAAATAAACAGCACAACATCGTCCGAGCTCACGTGGCTCGAACGAAACGGAAAATTATTCGCCAACCCAATAATAGTGCCAGCGAATAATTCATTTCTATTCAATTGTAAACAAGCGAAAAAAATGCAAAAATGTGAGAGAGTTCAAAATAGACTGAAGGACCTTATAATTTTTATTTTTATTCGCTCCATTTTAATAAAATATAAAATATGTACGATTTTTTCATGGGACTATAATATTTTCCAAGTTTTAATTTATTAATTTCGAGAACAGCAATTTATAAAAAATTTCATGGAAATAATTTTTGGACTTGTCACTGGAATTTTGATTATTACATTTATTTTACTTTGGTAAAGTTCTAGAAAGCAGCTCGCAAAAAATTTCCTCTTCATGAACGTCTCCTTTAATGCCAAATTCTTTACTTTTTCACTTGAAACGACTTTTTGAATAAATATTTGAGCCTAAGAAAAGATTTACTAATCTAAGTCAATAGTTCCGAATTAAAAATGTAATTTTTTCAATCTCCTTTCCCTTCTTTTATTTTTTCAACTGCTCCGTTTCGATTGTTCTGGATGCTCCAATTACTTCTTCTTGTACCTTTCCTGCGTCTGTCTGTGCGTCCCCCTCCTCTGTCATCCGCAGATCTTGTTGAACGCGAGAAAAACGACGAGACACGCACATTTATTTTCCTTTCCATATGATACGGTGTGTTTACTCGAAACTTCATTCGAGGGATATGTTGACACAGAGCGCATTTCAGCCGTGCCGAGATGACAAATTGTCGGCAAATAAAGCGCGCGGCTGCGAGAAACAATGGTTTTAAAGAGATCCATCCCGCTCCCATCCATCCATCCATCCACATCGGCCGACATTCTCTCTCCGAAGCCGCCGCCGCTTCCCGTTCCTTTATCGCGCACCGACGACTTGGCTGTATTGATTAATCCTACAAGTACACTTTTCATGCCCCATTGTGCAATCCATTTTTCCACTCGCGCCTTTCCCATACACGGCAGCGTGCGTCTTTTTCATCAATCAACACAGCGCCGGCTGCACTTTTTGTGCAGTCATCAAGTTTATCTTTTGCGAAAAAAAAGAGAGAAAAATACTTAAGTGCTCGCTTGTTAGCAGCCAGGGTTGAAGAAGAGCTTTAGAAGTTAATTGCGGGTATCAAATTTAGAACTTCAATGTATATGAATTTTTTTAAATATTATTTCAATGCACATTAAATATATTAATATTTTTAGTTTGCAAAAAAGTTTTGATTAAAAGCAAAGAATTGCATAATTTATTTAAAAAAAAAAAATGGAAGTTTTGAAAGAAATGGAAACGTTTGAGGATTTCAGAGAAAAGATTCTTATTGGAAACTGTATTTGGCATTTAAAAAATTTTGGAACTCCAAAATATAGACTAAATTTACTTTAAATACACTGAAAGAATTAATTAACTGTGTGATTTTTTTTTTAATTCTTGAAATTTAAATGTTTAATGATCACAAAACCTTCATAAAATCATAGAAGATTTTTTTCAAGGATACATAAAAATATTTGAGATAAATTTATTTTTTTATTCCAAAATATTCCTTGCGAGATTTGCTACATTTTTCATTTTTGTGAAGATTTCTGGACGTTTCGATTTTTGCTGTATTTCACTTAATTTCTGACTTTTTATAAATAAAGAATTTGTAATTATGGGAAAGAAATATACAAGTCCGATTTAAATATAGAAATTTCTTCATTCGTTCAGTTCATTGAAGTTTTTTTTCATCATGTTGAATTTTTTAGGCCAATTTTTATCCGAGCCAATTTTCAATCGATTTTCTTCCGTCAAACCGCGATGGCCGATTCGCGAATGTCTACGGTGTAACGATCAAGAATTGATGCAGCCCGCGCGTCGGCTTCGTCGTGCGGGTTGCCTGGTGTCTGCAAGCAGGCAGCCATCTCCCGAGGCGGCGGCCAAACTGGGCTCGCGCGCGCGAGTGGCGGAGCGCCCCGGAGACGAGCCCAACTACGCTCGCTCTTTCTCTCTCTCGCGTGTCGTCGCCGTGACCCAAATTCTAATTATTATTTCGCCTCCTCATCCTTTGACCTTGCGGTCACTCTCTCGGTACTTTTGTCGAAAATCGGGCGATGGATGCGTCACCCGCGCAGGCAAATGAGTTATGGCCGCGCTTAATGGTGCGCGCCGAGCAAATGGCCCGTGTGGGTGCGCTTTAAAGGGCGCGCACATTCTCCGACTCTCTGTAATTAAAATGCTGGAGAGCAGCCACCCCTTTCTTCACGGGGGGCGAGTTTATCTCTTCCGCCCTGGAAACACACTCATGTCCCCAGAATGGCCTCTGTTGAATTGGACTAGAAAATTCCAACCTCGATAACACTCCAGACTGACGAATAAAGTCTCTTTTCCTCTATAAAACCCAAAAAGGTTAATTAAGGGGATCAAAATTTTGCAGAAAAATCTTAAAATTATATAAAAAGCAAATCACATAAATTATTTGCAAGACTACGAGATAATTTAGTCCGGAAGCCAATTATTCTTGAAAAAAGTATATAATAACTTAAATTAATATTTTTATTATGAAATGGTTAATCATTATTGTAAAAAAAATTATAATTTTGTATAAAAAATTGTAATGAAGTTGAAAAAGAGGAACTCCTAAGCTACAGATTTAGTAAAAATCCATTTTCAAAATCAATATTTGGCCCGATTAAAAAAAGACCAGTCTATGAATAAATTTCCAATTTTTTCTTGGAAAACTCAAAATATTTCTGCACACTGTGCAATTCAAAGAAAAATTTTTAATAATTTTTTCTCACGTCTTACAAAATAATAAATCAAATTTTCGCCTTGTTTTGATCCCATCAATCAGGTAATGATGATGAAATGTTTTTTAATGATAACAATCAGCGGCGCCGATCGTGACAAATGAAATGCGTTGACCTCGACGAGAAATAACAGTGTTGCACAAAATGCCACCAGCACTTAAATCCTTAAATGGTAAAAATCAAGCGAGTCTTCCGTACCCAAAATTGCTCCGTCACAAAATTTTCCCGAACAAAAATAACAAGGCCGTTCGATATCCCGATGAGAGAGAGAGAAAGATAATTAAAATCCATTCAAGCGGCTGATTGACACTTTCTTCGGCAGCCTTGCCCGAATAAATTATAAAGAAGAAGTGATCTCGGAAGGCGCCACGACCTAGACTAACGCTTAGTTTAATAACAATCCTTGAGCTTCACCTGCCAGTCACATGTTGAGCAGCAAAAAATTAATAATCTTACATATAATTATGATAAAATTTTTCAATGGAAATCGAATTTTAAAAAAATCTTCAACATTTTTATTTCACATATGTCTTAAAATTAGCTAATTCAAATGTAAATAAAGAAAAATACTTGAATTGTGTTTGCAGGGCCAAGAGATGACCTGGGTGGTTGCTGACCACGAAGCACCCACCGGCTCGGCCGAGATCACGGTGCGCAAAGGTCAGCAGGTCGAAGTGCTCGAGGTGCCGGCCGGCCAGGAGCTGTGCCTGGTCCGGCTTCACCCGTCCTCGGCCTCGGAGCACCCTGTCGAGGGAATGGTGCCACTTTCAGTGCTCAAACCACCACCCCAAGGCCTAAGAGGACAAAGAACTCACGAAGGTAAGTCACTTCAATTCTTTCTCCAAACCGGTCCCAACAAGACGAACGCCGAAAATAATTTGCTCAAAATGGATGCGTTTATAAATCTTGATGATAACGTTTTTAAAATTAATCGTTTTATTTTTTGAGAACTTAAATTCAGCCCAGCTTTATGGCTTCAAAATATAAATGTAAAAAGAAATTGATTTATTTTGTTCGAAGGTTGATTTTTATTTTCAGGAATAATAAAATTATTAAAATAAATTGAGCTTTTTTAGCTGGAAATTGGCTTTAAACTAATAGAACGGGATGAAATTCAATTTTAATATGTTATTGGCAGTATTTTTTGTCCTCTTTTATCAAGAATTGAAATTTAAACATCAAATATATCTGAATCAAGCTACCAGCTCTTCGTTTTCCATGATCTATAAAAGAGAGCTCGAAAAACTTCACTCAAACGTCAGAAATTCAATTTTCTTTTGCGCGTCACTTGAAATTTCCATGACTGGCGCAAACGAGTTTTGGCCGGCTGCGTACGTACAAGGAAGCTCTTTCCATCTTCGCATGCAAATTGGCGTCCATCCGTGAAATTTCCCGTTTGCCGAAGAGTGGCAGAATCGCGCCGGTCATATTTTATATCCTTGAGGCGGCGCCAAATTGATTTGCCCGGGATTAAAATTTTCACATGTGCCGAGTGTCCCGTTCAATCATCATTAGTGTCGAGGAAGAATTTGCACCCGCGCAAGAAAGAACACTTTGCGCGCGCGAAAATAAGAAGTTCCATTTGCGGTGACTGCGTGTGTCACCCTGGCGCCTTCTTTTTTTTTTCTTCGTCCGAACACGCGCGCTTTCCGAGAAGCAATACTTCTTCTTCTCCGCCGTCGCCGCCACTTTGAGAAATGAGCGGATTTGCTCTTTTCAAACGGCGACAGCTTTCTGCAATTTGCATCGATTCGCCTGTGCAGCTTCTCGGAAATGTAATTTTCAAATGGCCGAGCGAGGCTAATTTCTTTCCTCCTCCTCGCCGTCTGATTTTCTTCTGACGCTTTTCACTCGAATTCTGTCAATTTGGCCTAAGTGCAGTTCTGAATGACGGCAAACCAAGTTTTGCTTTTTCGGGGAGCGGAGAGAAACCTCTCAAAATTGATCTGTCTTTTGATCAAGTCATTCCGAGATATAATTCCTAATTGATTTTTTGTAGAATTTTCATTTCATAGTGGAAACAAACAAAAAATACAGAAATTTCTCAAGAAATCAGATTTTCTTTACTTTTGGACCTAATTACTTGTCTTCTGAACTTATTCAACTGGAAACATATTAAAAAAATTTTCCTCGTAAAAAATGAAAACAATTTTTTTACAACAAGGACAAAGCCCGAGTTCTTCACTTCCATGATCATCTCCACGAGAGTCGATTTATTCAAACAAACTTAATTAGTTTTTAATACAAATAAATAAATAAATTGCTGGAAATTTAATTTTTAATTTTTTTTGCCTCTTTACCTTCAATTTTATTATGAAATTGTTATTATTATTTTTAATATTGAATTAAAAGATCAAAACTTAAATATTTAAAAAATAAATAAATGAAAAATGTTGCTTAAAAAGCAGCATAAATTAATTATTTAATCATCAAAGAGTATTTTTTTTTAATCTTCCAAATTAGAATTTTCCAAACATGAAAATGAAATTTCTAAAACTTTCAACTCCACATCTCACCACAAAGAAAAAATGAAAAAGTGTTCTTGTCCGAAAATTGAATTTAAAATTAAATTCGGTTAAATACCACCGCTTTTCCTCTGTCTGTGTGGCAATTTATTTTGATGCCAAACAAGCGTCGGTTACTTTTAATACCGCGGGGCCAACGTGCAATTTGCATGAGAGTTTCCGCAAGTGGGCGAAAAGGAAACACGGACGGCGTCCGTCGGCCAGCGCACAAAGGCCGCGCCGGAATTTTCCACTCTCTTTCTGTGTTGCGGCGGCGGCGGCGAGATGCAAATTTTGTTGACGGTATTCGGCGCGCGTAAACAAACCCCTTTTGGACGCTGCCTGCCCGTGCCCCTGCCACAATGGCCGGTGTCGCGAGCGCGCGTTCAGCAAGGCCGCCGCGCTCTTTCTGACTGATGGTCCACGGCGGCGCAAGGCGAGCCGGCCGCCCTTTCATGGAAACTCGGCCTTACTCAAGCAAGTGCATCTCCCGCTCATGTTAAATTTCCTCGAAAAACGACAAATGTCACCGTTTTTTTTTTAAGTATTAAATTTTGGGTAATTTTATTGATAACATTTTCGCATACAGAAGGTCATTTTTTTTTAAGTACTCGCAAGTACATTCACTCGCCCACACACATCGGCATGCTTATTTCTTCATTGTTCTCGTACATGTGGTTTTGCCAGTTGCGATGCTTTATTTGGCGCGGCAATTCTCGCTTTGTTTCTCAAGCGCAGTGTGCAAATCTATTGATAGAGGATTAAGAAATTGTGCACTGCAATATACGAATTCGCACTAGTTAAGAATTATTAATTCATTAGCGCAGAGAAAATTGATCGTTAATATTTTTTTTAATTTACAAAATGTTTTTAAAATTATTTTCTCCTGCTCTTTTCAGACGGTTAATTGAGCACAAATCATATTTATTATAATAATCACAATAATACTACTAAAAAATTATGTTAAAGGCGACTTAAATGGAGTAAACAGAGCAAAAGCCAAAAATTTTCTGTTCAGAATCGACCAAAAAGGAAACTATATTTGACAAAACGTGTGAATTTTAAAGAAAACATTAAAAATTAATATATTTATTAAAAATTTTATTCAAAACTTTTTTTTAGCGATTTTTTCAATTTAAACTCCTTTGCTTATTAGGACCAAAATTAATGGCGACAAAACTAAATTGAAAGCTTCAAAAACCAATTAACGCCAAATATTCTGTAATATTCTGTAATTTTATATTTTTTCGTCTCTGAAACTTAAATTTTACCTTTTTATTAATACGATTTTTTTTTTCATTAAAATGGCCAAAATTTGGAATAATATTATTTTGTAACCAATAATTTTCGAGCCCGTCTGAATTTTAATTTATGCTATAATAATAATAAATTATTATTTATCTATTTGCAAACACTGTTCCTTTATTTGAAGTTATAAATTCATTTTAAATTACCTTAATTGCATGTTTTTAATTATTTATGCATAAATCATGATATTATTAATTTTCTATCCTTTACGAATCGTAAACATTCGCAAAATTTGGCGCCAAAAAAGCGATTTGGCCGACGCCAGTCAGTCGCACTATTACTCTGCGGAAAAGTGCTTGAGATTAATCCGCCATGTGTATCAATTGCAAAGGGGTCGAGTCTGGCCATAAAGCGGCCGGCCGGCGGGCCACTCGCATCTGCCGCCGCGACAAAAGATGCTAATCGCTTTTCAGCTCTCTCGCACGTTGTCGATAAATCACGCACCCAGCAAATAGCAATGTGCGCACTTGGTGCAGTAAAAAGAAAGAAGCGAGCGAGACCTTCGCTGGCGCCGCCGACCCTTTTTGCTTGCGCAATAATCAGCCTGGTGTCATCCACTTGCACATCATCAGCCAAGCTCGAAGGCTCCAATTTCATACTTTTATCAATCGACCTATTTTTTATTCATTTTACTTTATAATTTCCATAAAATTTTCAAATTAAATCCATATAACTAATTTGAAATAAAGTTGTATTTAATTTTTCCTTCATTCATTTTTTCCCCATTCCATCATTAAAAAAAGCTGGAAACCTTCTTTTTTCAAAACTGAATACATCATCTTTTGTTTTTGGCTCTGTCAAATTTTTATTTTTACGTATCCTTTCTAATCTCTCTCATGGGCAACCTGCGCTGGCTTTCGCACGAGGGCTAGTTTTCAGAATAATAAAAAACGAGACTCGACTTGCGGCTTCTTCGCGCACGGAGGATAGAGTTGCGGCCGCGATCGAGTTTCATGCACCTAGAGTTAATCAGATTATCGCACTGTTGCTGCGAAGTACTTTTCTTTCCAGTGACAGCAGACGCGACCATCGCAGGTCCATCACATTTTTCTTTCACACCAAGTACGAATCAACTCGATCATTTTCTTTTGCGTCAAAGAAATGAAATCGTTGCCGTTTCTGATCAGATCTGCGTCTCAACTAAAGTTAACTTTTGGAGAAAACTTAATTAATATATTTATTTTAAAAGTTTCCATTTATATTTGCAGGAATAGTCTTTTAAAAACAATTAAATTTAATCAAGTAACAAAAAAAACACATTTTTAGGTGTCAATAAAGGATTTTGATTTACAAACTTGAATAAGAAAAAAGTCAAAATTATAAATGCTTAAACTTTATTTTTTCATTATTAAATTATTTTCATTGAATTGGAACTGATGATATGAAATTTCGAATGTAATTGACAGCGCTAAAATTTAATAATACTGATTTAATCATCTTTGAATTGCAATAGATTTAGAGTTTTATGTATATTATTATTATTTCAATTCAAATGTAAGGAGCAATTAATTATTATTTCCGATCGATGCCAATTAATCGAAGAGCAATTAAAATCAACTACCACGCATAAACATGATCGAAGTTGACTTTTCTTTTTGCTCAAACTATACTTGTCACCAACACGGGGCGTCATTAGCAATTAATTACAACTCCCAAGGCCTGACTAATTACACGTGTCCGTGTTAATTAAGGCAATACGCACGTGGGAGGAAAGATGAAATAAACGGATCAGTTTCTCACTCGAATGCAAAAAAAAGAAGAGTGATGACAATCGCTGGGGGTGAACGAACGCTGGCCGTCTAAAATCGATTAAGGCATTATTATTTTGCAACACACTGTGCACACTTGTTGCCTCATTAATTTGATTACCATCCTTGGGCGGTGGCGCCGGCACGGAGGAAATTTATTTCCACCGCCGAGCGTCACGTAATGTTTGGGGGTTGGATTTCTCTCGGAAAATTGACATCGGACACCGCGGCGCGCGAGCTTCCTTTAAAGGAAAGCTGC